AATCACCAGGTCAGGAGAATCACCAGGTCAGGAGATCACCAGGTCAGGAAATCAAGACCATCCTGGCTAACACGGTGAAACTCCATCTCTACTAAAAATGCAAAAAATTAGCTGGGTGTGGTGGTGGGCACCTGTAGTCCCAACTACTTGCGAGGCTGAGGCAGGAGAATGACGTGAACCCGGGGGCGGAGCTTGCAGTGAGCTGAGATCACGCCACTGCACTCCAGCCTGGGCAACAGAGCAAGACTCCCATCTCAAAGAAAAAAAGAAAAAGAAAAAGAAAAATCTCAGATTGGCTTTGCATAGACTGATAATTAGTGTTCCATAAATGAAGAAATATCAATTTAATTCTGTGCACCTAGGGTAGTTAGAATTCTACAATTAAAATAATTTCCCATTAGGATTATGTAATGCATGTAAAACATAGATCCTATTGAATGTCTTTATTTTCTAGCCTTCAGATAAGTACTAATAAGCTACAGTTTTGGCAAACACATTGTGTCAGTATTCAAAGGTTAATCCATTTAGTCTGTATCAGTCAAGGTCCAGTAAGAAAGATAGAAATCATACTAACTGTTTAAACAAAAGACCAGCCCAGGGAATTGTCTAAGTAAGAAGTTGCAGGACTGGAGAAGCAAAAAGGAAGTACCAAGATAGCATACAGAAAATAACTTCAGGAAAGTTACCACCCCTGGGGCTGGAGTTGCAAAGAGAAGGGCTTGAGATTATAAAAAGGTCCCAGACCAGGGCCTTACAGAGCTGTGACCCATCCTTTGAGAATGAGGCTGTGCTCAGCTGCTGCTGATACCTTGGAGCAGCATGGGATGAGGCTTGTTGTGGGAGCCTAGCACCGAACTGAGAACTCAGACCAACTGCCAGGATGAAGTAGAGTTGCTGAGAACTTGCTTATTGGAACAGCAATCACACAGGAAGGAACAGTCCTCTTTCCCCCCACGTGCCTTCCTCTAATGCTTGCTATTGGCAGAGTCTAAGAACCTGGCAAAGGAGAAGTGGTTTGCAGAGTACTCAGCCTATAGAAGGCTGGGTTGTAGCTGAGACAAGAGCTTAAATATTGGTACATGGTCCAAACTTATTTTATACCAAATAGAGATCATTTAATTTCAGGAAAAAAATCTAATTCTGCTCTGCTTATATTCCAATATCAACTCCCCACTGGTGTACTGCAATTCAGTTCCTACACTAATGACCCAGAGTTAGTGCAGATTCCACAAGTGAAAGGGCATGGTTCACAATAAGACTGTCCACACCTCAGACCAACTGGCTATAGATGTGGGGTCTTCCCACAAGATAGAAGAAGCTTCCCACTTCAGCTTCTGTTATTTGCTAGAATGTGTCACAGAACTCAGGCAAAAAAAGTGCTATTTGTACTATGACAGTTTTGTTATAAAGGATACAACTCAGGAACAGTCAATGAAAAGACACATAGGGTGAGGTCTGAGGGGCTCCCAAAGGCAGAGTTTCCATGCCTTCTCCTCGTAGGATTAGCACATTGCCCTCCCATCACATCAATGTGTTCAACCAGGAAGCTGCACTGAGCTTCAGTGTCCAGAGTTTTTATTAGGGTCTCACTATGTTGGCATGATTGATTTAATCATTGGCCACATGGTTAAACTCAATCTCCAGCCCCACAACCCCCCCTAGAGGTAGGTCTAGCACAAAGCCCCAACCTTCTAATCACATGGTTTTTCCAGTGACCAGCCTCTATTCTGAGTCATCTCATTGCTTGGCGTTAACTCAGGTGTGATCCAAGGGGCTCATGAAGAACAAAAACACTCCCATTACTTGGGAAATTCCAAGGATTTAGAGTTTCTCTCCCAGAAACCAGGGACAAAGGCCAAATCCTTTATTTTTGAAAAGTTTGCAATATAAGAGGAAAATGTTATTAAAGGCATGTCCAAGTGCATTTGACAGAACATAAGTTCCTATTACAAGTTTTAGAAGCATATATGATAATAGAAAATTAGTGCTAGAAAAGCCCTGAGAAGCCATTTGCCAATATGAATAAACTAGTTCAGAACATTTATAAGTGAGCTTTGTTCCAAAGTTTGCTTTCATTTGGAGTTTAGAAACCTGTTGTTCTTAAAGAGACAATTGTACCCAATGGTTATTACTTCTCAAGCCAGTTTACAAAATTTAATAGGGATAATAGGGCCAGGTGCAGTGGCTCACACCTGTAATCCCAGCATTTAGGGAGGCTGAGGCGGGCAGATCACGAGGTCAGCAGTTCGAGACCAGCCTGGCCAACGTGGTGAAACCCCGTCTCTATGGAAAATACGAAAATTAGCCAGGCGTGGTGGTGGGCGCCTGTAATCCCAGCTACTCAAGAGGCCGAGGCAGGAGAATTGCTTGAACCCGGGAGGCAGAGGTTGCAGTGAGCTGAGATTGTGCCATTGCACTCCAGCCTGGGCGACCGAGCAAGACTCTGTCTCAAAAAAAAAAAAAAAAAAAATAGTGATAATAATCCAGTAGTAATAATAACTTGTATTTATTGAGCTGGAAATCTGCTGTATGCTGATGTATTATTCTAGATGCCAGGAAGTAGTGAGGATGATATGTTTGAAAATGGAAGAAGATGGGGAACCTGAGTCAGATGCAACATTAAAAGAGATTGTCCGTGAACTATAGAATTTCAAAAACATGCAAGTGAACAATTGTTGAATTCCTGGATAAATATTCTGAGAAAAATGGCCTCAGGATTGTAGTGAGAAGTAAGAGGAAGAAGGTATATGAAGCTGCTTAACATACAGTGGTTCGTAGTGGCTCAATAACTATTCAGAGAAAAACAAAACTCATTCAAGTCAGGACTCAGTCTATGGCAGCGGCCCCCAGCCTTTTTGACACCAGGGACTGGTTTAATGGAAGACAATTTTTCCATGGACTGGGTCAAGGGGATGGTTTTGGGATGATTCAAGTACCCTACTTTTATCACGCACTTTATTTCTATTATTATGACATTGTAATATATAATGAAATAATTATACAACTCACCATAATGTAGAATCAGTGGGAGCCCTGAGCTTGTTTTCCTGCAACTAGACGGTCCCATCTGGGGGTGATGGGAGACAGTGACAGATCATCAGGCATTAGATTATCATAAGAAGCGCACAACCTAGATCCCTCACATGTGCAGTTCACAATAGGGATCCCACTCCTATGAGAATCTAATGCCACTGCTGATCTGAGAGGAGGCGGAGCTCAGGCAGTTTTGCAAGCCATGGGGAGTGGCTGTAAATACAGGTGAAGCTTCTCTTACTTGCCTGCAACTCACCTCCTGCTGTGCAGCCTGGTTCCTAACAGGCCATGGACTGGTACTGGTCAGTGGCCTGGGGATTGGGGACCCCTGGTCTATGGTACTGAAGCAGATATAGGACCTAGCATAAAATAAGCATAAAACTAGAAAAAGTAATGCATTTGACCCAATTACTTAGGTGGTAAAAAGTTAGGATTGTATTTTATCATGTGATCAAGATCTAGGATAGTAAAAATGGACTATTCAGAGTGCACAGAAGTGTGCCTGAAAAGTGTGACCTGGTGGCTTTTTTAAAAGTATAATAAATCTAATAGAGAAAATTAGCAAAGTCTCACTTAAAAAAAAAAAGTTACAAATCCCAAAGAAAAAACTTAAAAGTTTGTACTGATTTACATTTCCTAATGTCTGTGGGTGATTTTATTTGTTCATTGGACAGTCATTTATTCAGTGTCCAGTGCCACTATGCTGGGCAGAGAATACAAGATAAGTCACACATGGTTCCTGTGTACGTGGAGTAAACAGTCTAGGAGAAAAGATTTCTTTCACAAAGTGGAGGCATAATGCAGCCTTACCCTTCAATGTATGGTTTGGTGCATTATGGTAATATAAGAAAGATAGACAACTGTTAGAAGTGATGTGTTTAAAGAATTTAGTGACAAGCTGGGTGTGGTGGCTCACACCTGTAACCCCAGCACTTTGGGAGGCTCAGGACGGTGGATCACTTGAGGTCAGGAGTTCGAGACCAGCCTAGGCAATATGATGAAATCCTGTCTCTATTAAAAATACAAAAGTCAGCCGGGTGTGATGGCAGGTTCCTGTAATCCCAGCTACTCCAGAGGCTGAGGCAAGAGAATCGCTTGAACCTGGGAGGCAGAGGTTGCAGTGAGCTGAGATCACGCCATGCACTCTAGCCTGGGAAAAAAAAAAAAACCCCAAATCAGGAAAAAAAAAAAAAAAAAAAAAATAGTGATAATAATCATAAGAAAATGTTACCTACAGCTTAATGCAAAATGGAAGTTAAAAATGGAATGGAAAAATCCTATTATCAAGTATATAAATGGATACTTTGGGAGGCCGACGTGGGCGGATCACGAGGTCAGGAGATCAAGACCATCCTGGCTAACATGGTGAAACCCCGTCTCTACTGAAAATACAAAAAATTAGCCGGGCGTGGTGGACGCCTGTAGTGCCAGCTACTCCAGAGGCTAAGGCAGGAGAATGGCTTGAACCCAGGAGGCAGAGGTTGCAGCGAGATGAGATTACGCCACTGCACTCCAGCCTGGCCGACAGAGCGAGACTCTGTCTCAAAAATAAAAAAATAAAAAAATAAATGGAAAAACCCCACTATCAAGTATATAAATGTATCATTGTTAACTTTTTTCTCTTAGAGCATGTATATTGTATTAAAAGTACGATTCTCAAACTCTCAGGGGACAGCGGTAAGCACGTGGTTATATGAAATTGTGCCTCTCTGAGTGCCCCAGGTTCCTCTCCTGTAAAATGAGAAAAAGACACACCTACTCCCAGTTCACATACAAGATTAGGTCCAAAGGTGTGTGTCCTGCACCCTCCCCCATGAAGGGGATGATTAGGCTTCATCAAAGTTGTTTTCTGAGTCCTCAAACATTTCTCGATATGTGTGAGAAAAAACAGTCAACACATTTTTTACAATTCTCATTGGAACAGTTGTTACTGGATTTTCTAACCCTTCTTTATTCTCACTGCCCAGGTTACCCCTTCCCTACTGCTCCTCCTGTGGATCCATTTGCCAAAATCAAAGTGGACGACTGTGGAAAAACTAAGGGATGCTTTAGGTTGGTGGAACCGCAGGTTGGATAACTTTAAGGCTAAGACTGATTTACTTCTCAGGGTAGTATTTAAATTGCATGCAGTTCCTTCTGATCAGGGGACCTGAGCTCCTTCATCACCTCAGCAGGGTTGTGAAGTTTCGTAATGGCCATCCCGCTTTTCAGTCTTAAAGGCCTTTTAACTTTAGTATGTCCTGGGCCCCGGACCATTCTTCCATGGTTCTTTTGTAGCTGTACCACCATTGCTCAGGTGTCTTCTACTCACCAATTGCTGATATGCAGAAGACTCATGTGACGCAAAATGTGTCCGTGCTTATTCAGCAGGGGCTGAATAACATTGCAGGGCAGGCAATGATAAACATGTTTAATACCCAATTCCTTTTTTAATAAATAGTCATGACCTATGGATATCTGTGTGATTCTAATTAGTCATTAAGCATTCATTGTTGCTAGCTTGTTATCTCAGGCATGGTGAGTCTCTACATGATTATCAGTAGTATCACGCGACATGACAGACTGGGCTAGAAAACAGTCGTGTGGACAATGGGCCTCCCATCTAGACAGCTCTGCTTCTTTGGGAAAGCCTCCTCCTTTGAACCCTTTACTTCCTAAAACAAGTTGCCCCTGAGTAATTTGATGGTCAGGGCAATTTGCTGGCCTGATGGTCACTGCACTGAAGGTTCTGATTTTGCTGTTGTTCAGTACTTGAGGTCTAAGGAGGAAAAATTGAATACAGGGGCTTTGAGCTTTCTTTGGATTACAAGGCCATTTCTAAGGAATACATAAAAATATCCAATAATATTCTTATTGAGGAAGATGGTCAGCAATGTATAAATCTGGTGACTGGGGGATGTTTTGAGAAGGGAGGGAATTTTAGTACTCTACTGGCTTCAAAGTGACTTGTTTTCTTGTCCATTTACTCCTTTTTTAACTTCCCTTGCTCCTTTTCATCTTTTTCACCCCAGTGCCCTGTGGCCTTGATCCTATATCTCTTCCTGGCTCCTCAGGTATCTCTGCCAATATAGTAGTACATTCCTGTCCCCTCCTCAACACTTAGCACCCCGTGCCCTGTTCCTTTAGATACCTTCCATCTGCGATTAGATTGTCCCACCCATTGCTTCAACTTTCTACCATTCTGCAAATGGCATAATACAGTGTTCCCCAAACCAGGGCTTGCCAATTCTGAAAGGATCCACACATCCTCTGTAAGAAAATTTAAATTTGTGTTTTCATTTGAGTGGTGCTCTTGAAAAAACATGAATGTCTGCATAATCTCACTATCTGGATAATCACCTTATATTGTATGTTTTAGTGCCTGAATTTGTAATTGTATTAGCAGAAAGTAGCCCAACAGAACAAAGGCAAATTTTATAAATAAAGCAAGTGCAGTGGCTCATGTCTGTCATCCCTGCACTTTGGGAGGCCGAGGCAGGTAGATCACCTGAGGTCAGGAGTTCAAGATCAGCCTGACCAACATGGTGAAACCCCATCTCTACTAAAAATACAAAAATTAGCCAGGTGTGGTGGCCCACACCTGTAGTCCCAACTAGTTGGGAGGCTTAGGCAGGAGAATTGCTTGAACCCAATAGGTGGAGGCTGCAGTGAGCCAAGATCCCGCCACTGCACTCCAGCCTGGGCAACAGAGTGAGACTCTATCTCAAAAAATAAAAGAAAAAAAAGTTATAAATATATATCGCATTCATTCATGGTCCATGAGTACCAGATGGAGGTATTCATTTGGTGTATTGCATAAATGAGGGTTTTGCAGCAGTTCAAGCAGATAAAAGTGAAGAGTTGAGTCATCATGCTATAGAGAGTAGTAAGAACATGCTCTCAACTCCAAAGACCCTGTATGATCTAGTCAGATACCACATGCACATAAGCAGAAATTTACTTTCAGTAAAGCCCCATCATCTGTTGCAAGAATGCTGTGAATTTCAATGTTCCTGGTTTATCAGTTTAATTTATATTGAATTTGTAAATTTGTGTTAGTTTGATTATACGAAAATTTGTAAGTTAAAAAGAGTTGGTATGCATTTAATTAACGAACAATTTAAATGGTTAACTTGGAGAATCTTTTTCCATTAAAAGGGATTCAGAAATAATTCAGTAGTAACTAACATGTAAAAGACTCTAATATTAGTATAATGTAGAGAACACTGGCTGGGAGTTTGGAGACCCAGGTTCAAGTCCTGTTGCAACTGCTGACTTCACTATACAACCTTGGGCAAGCCCCTTCCCATCTCACGACGGCAGTTCTTGGGTATAAAGAGGGGCAGATCATCTCCAGGGTTCCTCCTAAGAGAGTGAAACTGTGTTTTTAAGATTCCAGGTAGCAAAAATCCAATGTGTTTAATAATATTGCTTAGCATCCCACCTGATACATAGTAGATGTTCTCTTAATGTCTTTTGAGTAAGTAGAAGCAGTGATGTCTCTTTTGATGTATCTTCTAGATATGGCAAACCAGGCTGTAATGCAGAGACCTGTGACTACTTCCTCAGCTACCGGATGATAGGGGCTGATGTGGAATTTGAGCTGAGTGCAGACACAGATGGTTGGGTAGCAGTTGGATTCTCTTCAGACAAGAAAATGGTAAGATGCAAAACATGATAGAAGCTGATTTTTTCTCTTTAGTTGGCTGTGCTATTTTGATTTTAGAAGCAAGTTAATTGATCAAAGCAGTATAATGATCATATTAGTTATGGCTCTCTGATTGCAAGTTAAAAAAAAAATTCAGTCTAGCTTAAATGAAAGGGTTGGCTATCAGAATCCAAGCTGTCTTGTGGCACCTCTATTCATCAGCTGTTTCCACAGTAAGGCTAGAAGAAGAGACCCGCATGTTATAAGCCTTATATGGCTTACAACAATGAGCATGTATTGCTTGCTCACATGTGCATGGATTGACTGGGGTGCAGCTCATTTTAGGTGGGGCTCAGCTGGACTTGACTCCAGTCCATGAGTTGGGTTCAGGCTTTCTATGTCTTCACTAGTCATCCAAGGTATATTTTTTTCATGGCAGAAGCAGAAGTGAAAGAACCACTTAAAAGAGGGAAAAACAACATTTTCCCCTCTCTACTCATATTCTCAATACAGAAAGAACATTTCTGTGACCAGATGTGTGGGGGTGTTCCCCCACACCCCAAGCATTTGTCCAGTGGACAGCTGGGTGTCCTCTTAATTCAATTTGTTTCTGACACTACCTACCTGGAGACAGAATCAGATCCCAAGGTTAAGGGTTCAACACACAAGACTGCCCCCATTTCAGACACCAGTCACAAGCCCCAGGTTGTGACCTGTATTTCTGACCAACCAGCTATAAATCTGGGGTGCCACCACCCCCTCACGTTCAGTTAATTTCCTGGAATGGCTCACAGAACTCAGAGAAACACTTTACTCATTCACTCATTCATTCATTCAGATGGAGTTTCGCTCTTGTTGCTCAGGCTGGAGTGCAATGGTGTGACCTCAACTCACTGCAACCTGCACCTCCCAGGTTCAAGCGATTCTCCTGCCTTAGCCTCCTAAGTAGCTAGGATTACGGGCGCCTGCCACTACACCCAGCTAATTTTTTGTAGTTTTAGTAGAGATGAGGTTTCCTCATGTTGGCCAGGCTGGTCTCAAACTCCTGACCTCAGGTGATCCACCCGCCTCGGCTTCCCAGAGTCCTGAGATTAAGGCATGAGCCACCATACCCAGCCTGCTTTACTCATTTATTATGAAGGCTATTACAAAGGATACAGATAAACAGTTAGATGGAAGAGACACTTAGGAAAAGGCATGGGGAAAGGAGTGAGGAGCTTCAACACTCTGTTGGGTGCACTACCCTTCAGGCACCTCCACCTGTTCAGCAATCTGGAAGCTCATCTGAACCCTGTCCTTTTGGGTTTTTTTGTTTTGTTTTGTTTTGTTTTTTTCGAGGCAGAGTCTCACTCTGTTGCCCAGGCTGGAGTACAGTGGCATGATCTCGTCTCACTGCTACCTTCGCTTCCTGGGTTCAAGCAATTTTTCTGCCTCGGGTTCCCAACATAGCTGGGATTACAGGCGTGCGCCACTGCACCCAGCTGATTTGTATAATTTTAGTAGAGATCGGGTTTCGCATGTTGGCCAGGCTAGTCTCGAACTCCTGGCCTCGAGCAATCTGCCCCCCTCAGACTCCCAAAGTGCCGAAATTACAGGCACTTCCGTGCCTGGCCTCTTTTTGAATTTTTATGGAGGCTTCATTATAATAGGCATAATGGATTACATCAGGGAAGTTAAGAATTTGGTTCAACAATTTTGTCTTCCTCTGTACCCAGGGGCAAGTAAACATCTGGACCTCAGACAGGACAGTGGCCAGGCACAGGCGGGGCCTCAGGCACACAGGCAGCTGTCATTACTGGCCCCTGCTCTTCACTGAGCCTTGCTGCATTTTTTCTCTCTTTCCTCTGGGGCCCCATTCTTTGCCACTTCACTGGGCCAGGCTTGTTCCCAAATTATCAGACTTTCTCAGGCCTCTGTGCCTTTGCACTTGTTGCTGTTTCTGCCTAGAGCACCCCGCCCTTCTCTTCATCTGGTCTATTTTGAGGCTTGTGTAGGGCTACAGGAGAGAGAGAAGGGTGGCTCAGACCAAAGTTCCAGCAGTGACAGTGGTGAGAAGGGCTCAGATTTTGGATGTTTTGAAAGTAGCACTAACTGAGGCCGAGGTGGATCACCTGAGGTCAGGAGTTCGAGACCAGCCTGGCCAACATAGTGAAACCCCATCTCTGCTAAAAATACAAAAAATTAGCTGGGTGTGGGGGCGGGCGCCTATAATCACAGCTACTTGAGAGGCTGAGGCAGGAGAACCACTTGAACCCAGTGGCGGAGGTTGCAGTGAGCTGAGATCGTACCATTACACTCCAGCCTGGGCAACAAGAGTAAAACTCTGTCTTAAAAAAAAAAAAAAAAAAAAACAAAGAAAATAGCACCAACTGGCTGGGCACGGTGACTCACACCTGTAATCCCAGCACTTTGGGAGGCCGAGGCAGGTAGATTGCTTGAGGTCAGGAGTTTGAGACCAGCCTGGCCAATGTGAAACCCTGTTTCTACTAAAAATACAAAACTCAGCCTGGTATGGTGGCAGGCGCCTATAATCCCAGCTACTCGGGAGGCTGAGGCACGAGAATTGCTTGAGAGGCAGAGGTTGCAGTGAGCTGAGATCGCGCCATTGCACTTCACCCTGGGCAACAGAGCGAGACTCTGTCTCAAAAAAAAAAAAAAAAGTAGTACTGACTGACAGGATTTGCAATTGGATATGGGTTGTAGGTGTGTTGTAGGAAAAGACTGGGAAGCTGTCTAAGCAGTGGCTGCTCTGGTGGCTTTATTCTTGGAGAGGTCACCAGGAGAATAGCCTTCAATGAGTTCTAGTCCAGGTGGTAAGACAATGGGTACAACTGGTAAGACTGCGTGGATAGATACTAGTCTACTTATCTCTTGCCCTAGAGGCAGTAGGAGAAACAGCAGGGCATGCCACACCCAGAAGCTGGCTTGCATTAAAAGTGACCACTTCCCATCCTAAATGCATTTGCACGCGTGATGGGGCTGTTAAGGTGAGAGGAGTGAGGCAGAGTGAGGAACATTCAAATTTTGTTTGATATTTTGCTATCTAAAGGCCTATAAAGTATCTACTGTCATATTATCTGTGAAAGTAGAGGTCTCTTTTTTTCTTGTATTGTTCCAAGAAAAAGCATAGATTAATTTTTTTAAAGCCTAATGCATAGGAAAAACAAAATGCAACCCCTTTTTAAAAGCCTTTAACTTTTTAAAAATGGTGCATTATTAGCCGGGCGCGGTGGCTCACAATCCCAGAACTTTAGGAGGCCGAGGCGGGCAGATCACCAGAGGTCAGGAGTTTGAAACCAGCCTGGCCAACATGGTGAAGCCCTGTCTCTACTAAAAATACAAAAATTAGCTGGGCATGTTGGTGGTTGCCTATAGTCCCAGCTATTCAGGAGGCTGAGACAGGAGAATTGCTTGAACCCAGGAGGCGGAGGTTGCAGTGAGCCGAGATCGCGCCACTGCACTCCAACCTGAGTGACAGTGAGACTCTGTCCGGGGGGGATAAAAAGGTACATTTGTGTGTGTGTGTGTGTGTGTGTGTGTGTGTTTTAATTAGACTTTATGTTTTACAGCAGTTTTAGGTTCACAGTGAAATGGAGCAGAAGGTACAGATTTCCCTTATACCCCCTGGGGAGCCTCCCTCATTATCAACATCCTGCACAGGGTGGTACATGTGTTACAACTGATGAACACTTTTTTTGTAACTTTTTATTTTTTTGAGATGGAGTCTCACTGTATTGCCCAGGCTTGGAGTTCAGTGGCACTATCTCGGCTTACTGCAGCCTCCATCTCTCAGGTTCAAGCAATTCTCTTGCCTCAGCCTCCCGAGTAGCTGGGATTATAGGCACCCGCCACCACACCTAGCTAATTTTTGTATTTTAAGTAGAGACGAGGTTCCACCATGTTGGCCAGGCTGGTCTTGAACTCTTGACCTCAAGTGGTCTGCCTCAGCTTTCCACAGTGCTGGGATTATAGGCGTGAGCCATCACACCCAACCGAACTCTTTTAACTTTTTAAAACTTGTTTTGAAAAAAATGTAAACCTATAGACAAGCAGGAAGGATAGTACAGTCAACTCATATACAGAAAATCTAGATTAACAAGATAATAACTTTTTTATTGTGGTAAAATGCACATAACAAAATTAACTATTTTGTTTTTTGTTGTTGTGTATTTTTATTTTATTATTATTATTATTATTATTATTTTGAGACAGGGTCTCACTCTATTGCCCAAGCTGCAGTGCAGTGGCACAAACAAGACTCACTGCAGCCTCAACCTCCCCAGCTCAAGTGATCCTCCTACCTTAGCCTCCTGAGTAGCTAGGACTACAGGCATGAGCCCCCAGGCCCAGCTAATTTTTTTATTTTTTGTAGAGATAGGGTCTCACTGTATTGCCTAGACTGGTCTCGAACTCCTGGGCTCAAATGATCCTCCTGTCTTGACTTCCCACGGTGTTGGGATTACAGGTGCCAGTCACCACATCTGGCCAGAATTGACCATTTTATTTTGTTTTTTTGAGACAGGGTCTCACTCTGTCATCCAGGCTGGAGTGCAGTGGCACCAAAATTTACGATTTTAAAGTGTCGATTCAGTGACATCGACTACATTCAGTGTTGTGCAACCATCACTACTTCCTAGTTCCAGAACTTTTTCATAAATAATTACATTAGCCACACATGCTTTATTCTCTCTACTACTGCTGCTACTGCTACAACTACTGATTATTATTTTTTGATTGTTATTTTCTGGAACTTTGGCATTTAAATAACAAATATCATAATCCTTTAACCCTAAATACTTAAGTAAGTGTCCCCTAAAATCAAGAATGTTCTCTTTTATTATATTGTTTATTAAATTCAGGAAGTTTATGATATGAGAGTATTATTAAATATATTGTTTGTTTTCATATGTTGCTACTTGTCCCAATACTGACCTGTAGGGAAATTTTGGGTTTATAGCCCAAATTTCTATGTAGGAACACCTAGAACTGCATTTTGTTGTCATGTGTATTTTGAAATAGTTTTTTAGCCTTTTTTTTTTTCTTTTTTTGGTCTTTTATGACATTGACTCCTTGAAGATTATAGGCTAGGTTTTTTGTTTATTTTTTTGTAGAATGACCTTCAGTTGAGTTTGTCTTATTGTTTTCTCATGATTAGGTTGGTTTGTGTTTTGGGCAGGAATACCATATAGGTGGTAATGTCTTCTCCAAACATCAGTCAGGAGGCACTGAATGTCACGTATCGTGCTGGTAACTTCGGTCTCCTGGTTGAGACTTTTTAATGGCACTTAAAAGAATTTTTTTGGTGGGATTTCAAATTGCAGAGGTGATCGAATGTATATTTCTAGTGACCAGTGTGCAAAAGATGAACCTTTGACTTTTTTTTTTTCTTAATCATTTCTCATGTTAGGGTGGTGATGATGTCATGGCCTGCGTCCATGATGACAATGGCAGGGTCCGCATACAGCACTTCTATAATGTAGGCCAGTGGGCAAAGGAGATTCAGAGAAACCCTGCCAGAGATGAAGAAGGAGTTTTTGAGAATAATCGCGTCACCTGCAGATTTAAACGCCCTGTGAATGTTCCCAGAGATGAAACAATTGTTGATCTGCATTTGAGTTGGTATTATCTGTTTGCTTGGGGTCCAGCCATTCAGGGTAAGCTTACATTTTAGCATCTGGATTAAACACCAGACATCACTGTGCTTGTGTTCATTCTTAATTGAAGTCACACTGTGTGCACAAGAGAGCGATAAGCACTCTGGGTCATTTAAAGGAAAAGGAGATGCGACTCCTACCTTCAGAAGGTTATAATGGACTTATTATAATGGACTTATTATACAGACGAACAAATGAACAGTTATACACATGCAAAGCTACAGCAGTACAAGATAGTATGTCATGAGTGATGTGCTTAATGAAACAGATCATACATCTGCTGTATGTAGGGCTCTGTTGAATTCTCCCAGCATTCTCATTTACTCCTCACCATGTCCTTGAGAGGTATAGGTATTATTGTCCAGGTTTTAGAGAGATTAAGAAACTTGCTCAAGGTTATACAACTAATTAGTAGAAGAATTAAAATTCAATCCTAAGTGTCTGACCCCAAAGCCCATGAATACTCTTAACTCCTATGCTGTAAATATAAAAAGACTGAACAGGGGCAAGACGTGGTGGCTCACGCTATAATCCCAGCACTTTGGGAGGATGGTTTGAACCCAGGAGTTCAAGACCAGCCTAGACACTATAGTGAGACCCTGTCTCCATTCAAAAAAAAAAAAAAAAAAAAGAAGAGGAAGAAAGAAATAATAAAAAGTACTGAACAGGAAGGGCTTCTGGAGACTTCTCCAGAGATTGATACCAGGCATTTCATTAGGGCCCACTTTGTGACTATTCTGTTAGTCACAAATCTACCAAATTATCCCATAGTTTAACCCATTACTCCTTAAATATTTATGTGTATAGGAATTACCTGGCTATATTGTTAAAGTGCAGTTTTCTGTAGGTTTTCCCCTCTCCTCTCCCCTCCCCTCCCTTCCCCTCCCCTCCTCTCCTAGGTCTTGCTCCGTCACCCAGGCTGAAGTGCAATGAAACAATCACAGCTCACTGCAGCCTCCACCTCCCAGGTTTAAGTGACCCTCCCACCTCAGCCTCCCAAGTAGCTGGGACTACAGGCATGCACCACCATGCCTGGCTAACTTTTTTTTTTTTTTTTTTTTTTGTAGAGACGGGGTTTCGCCATATTGCGCAGGCTGGTCTTGAACTCCTGGGCTCAAGCGATCCACCAGCTTTGACCTCCCTGAGTGCTGGGATTACAGGTGTGAGCTGCCACACCTGGCAAGATTCTACATTTCTCATAAGCTCCCTAGTCATGCTGGTTCATTGATGACCTCATTTTGGGTGGCAAGACTCTGCAGCATTTCCCCAAAAAAGACCCAAGGATATCATGAGACCTTTTAGAGACTGCTAAAATCAAGTTACACTGAGCCTTGAGCATTCCTTCTGGTTGATTAGCCTAAGGGCCTGCTCAAGAATGGAAGTGAGTTTGATTTCCAGTCCTTGCACTGAGAACTCATTCCGGCTCCTGGTAATTGCATCTTTCTTTACTGTGTGCTCATCAACTATGTGCTGCCTAATCTGATCTGGTTGTTTTTTTCCTTCAATTGGTTTCCACCGATCAGCCCAGAGATGACATAATCTACCTTTTATTTTGCCTGTTGCCAACTGGGAAGACACTTGGCTGCCTCCAGATTGGTGACACCTTTTCCATTTGCTAATTTCCCTGATTACCAACGGTGGCGCTGCAGTTAGAACTTCAATTACTTTCGGTACTCTGGGAAATAAATTATATCTCAGCCTGGAGAAATGGAGTCATCTAAAATAGTGGGATTTGAAGTCTAAAAATTTGAGTCTGAGTATTGGTTCTGCCCCTTGGTAGCTGTATAATATTTAGCCTGTTATTTAATTTCTGAATTTCATTTCCTTATATCTAAAGTGGGGATAATAATACTTCCTATTCCATGGAATTATTGTAAGGATTAAGTGAAAACAAGTATTTTAAGTTGCTTTACCAATTGGAAAAAGCTGTATTTTCAGAAGGTCATCTTTTTACATACATGGCAGATATGGCAGACTAGCCTAAAGTTCAAAACCTTCTCCAAATCTGGTCCTGCTTTACCTGATAAGCTCTCTCAAGACTTCTGTTCTTCTCACTAACTCTAAGCAAACAGGCACATTCGTACCCCATATACAGGCTTCTGCTTTTCTTGTTTCCTGAATACTCTTCTTTTATTTTATTTTATTTTTTTTTTGAGATGGAATCTCACTCTGTTGCCCAGACTGGAGTGCAATGGCATGGTCTCGGCTCACTTCAACCTCAGCTTCCCAGGTTCAAGCGATTCTCCTGCCTCAGCCTCCCGAGTAGCTGGGATTACAGGCACCCACCACCACACCCAGCTAACTTTTGTATTTTTAGTAGAGATGGGTGTCACCATGTTGGCCAGGCGGGTCCTAAACTCCTGACCTCGTAATCTGCCCACCTCAGCCTCCCAAGTGCTGGGATTACCGGCATGAGCCACCACTCCTGGCCTCCTGAATGCCCTTTTAATGCCTCTTTACTGATTATATCCTACTCATTCTCCTAAGGTCTCTGTAAGGGGAAAAACTTTGAACTAAGGCTTGAAAGGGGTATGAGGTTGGATTTCACTCAAGGAAGGCATGAACTGTAGACACATAGTTGAGCAGCCCATGCAGGTGACCAATGAGCTGAGGTTAGGTAGGAGAGGTGAGTGGGATCTATTGAGAGAAAAGTCTGCTCTGTTACCCAGTCTGGAATGCAGTGAAACAATCACAGCTCACTGCAGCCTCCACCTCCCAGGTTTAAGTGATCCTCCCCGCTCAGCCTCCCAAGTATGTGAAACTACAGGCATACAAACCTGCGAAGTTTGATTTTTGCTAACTGGGGCCAGCACGGACACTAAGCAGGGACCTGACATGACAAGTTTGGTAGGGCTTCCCTAGCAGATAGGACCTTAAAAACCCTCACTCTGAGCCCTATTCCTAAGGAGACCTTTGCACTGAATGCATATGCCTTAGTCTCCCTAACCCAAGTTTCATATGGATTATTCAGAAGGTCAGATACTTTCAATCAACTGAAGATTATTAAATATATTTTAACACAGTCTGTATTTCTTGCCACTTGTAACCAAATTAAAAGAAAGTTTCCCATCGAAAGACTTGTTTGGTACCTTAATCATCCCACTTTCTGTACCATTCTACCCTAATCTGCCAGACACACAGACACACACCCAGCATACCACACTCCCTCTGGCATGGCCTGGGCAGGCTACTAAGTGTCCCACAGACAGTAGAGGAGGGCTTCCATCTGTAAGGGAGATGTTAGGAGTTGCTGATGATCCATATATATACACATGTATATATATGTGTACACATGTACACATCCATACATATATATGTATATGTTGATGATATACATATATATACAAGATAGATTTGAAGGAAAAAAGTTAGTAGTCTCTGCTGTTTGAAAGAAAAATATAGTTTGCCCTTTTGGGTATTAATAAGACAAAGCTCATTAGAGCCATTTAAAGAAGACAATCATACAATAATCATAATCATACAATATTGTATGATTATGACTAGGAGTCTTAAAATTGGGATGCCAGGAAACAGACCAACAGCATTGTTCCTATAGGGGAGTGCAGATTAATGAGAACTAGTCTTTTTGGATAAATTTAACTAATTTCTATGTTCTTCATCATATGTACAATGATAGAGAATTCTGATAACTCAAATACCTGAATCCAGATCTTTGTAACCACTGCTTATGTATTCAACACTAAATAGACTTTTGATTTTTCCATTGTTTGCCTATACCATTATAAATCTGTTCTTTTTTCAATTGCCCCCCACCCTTCTCTTTTTTTCTTAAAGGCTCTATCACTCGACATGATATAGACTCACCACCAGCTTCAGAGCGTGTTGTCAGTATTTACAAGTATGAAGACATTTTTATGCCATCAGCTGCCTATCAAACCTTCTCATCTCCATTTTGTTTGCTTCTGATTGTTGCTCTGACCTTCTACCTATTGATGGGAACCCCCTAACCACAACTGCAGGGCCAACAGATTACATGGATTGGGAAGTCTTTAGTATAAATATATTTTTAAAGAATATCCAGTATAATTTTAGCTTCAATTATTTAAGAAAAAAAACCGTCATATAATTTCAGCTTTTTGGAAGAAAGAACAAGCTTCTTTTCTAGTCAAAGAAGATTGTTTAATAATGACCCTATACTTTTGGAATGTACTTACACCTTTTCTAAGCACTTTCAAATATGTTTTCTTCTTTAACTTCGCAACATCTGTGAGTTGGATTGATGAAAATTATGATTGCCATCTTCCTGAATGGGATTTGAGACCCAAAAAGACCGCCTTTTTATGATCTACATACCATATAACTTTGGCTAGAAATGAAAAATAGAAAGGCAGAGAAAGAATTAGGTATAGAAATAATGTCTCAAAACAGTCTTTAGTAGGAGTGCCATAGCACAGAGAGTTATTTTGAGTATTACTAGGGAGAACTTTACTGAATGTCATAAGTTCACAGTCAGCCTTTTGGGGAGAAGAACTTTCAAATCTCCGTAAAGCAGAAGTGCTTTGGATATTACGCAGCCAGTGGGGAGATTGGAGGAAAATACAATGATACGAAAATAGTTCATATTTATTTGAAATTTTGGCCAAGCACGGTGGCTCACGCCTGTAATCCCAGCACTTTAGGAGGCCGAGATAGGCAGATCACCTGAGGTCAGGAGTTCGAGACCAGCCCGGCCAACATGGTGAAACCCCATCTCTATTAAAAAGTACAAAAATGAGCCAGGCGTGGTGGTGCACACCTGTAATCCCAGCTACTCAGGAGGCTGAGGCAGGAGAATTGCTGGAACCCAGGAGGCGGAGGTTGCAGTGAGTCGAGATTGTGCCACTGTACTCCAGCCTAGGTGACAGAGCCAGACTTTGTCTCAAAAATAACTAACTAAATAGTATTTATTTGAAATTTCTTCTCAGTTAGAGAGTAGCTATGATAAAACATTTTTACTTATTTGGAAAGGTTAGAGACCAAACTGTGAGCATTCCTGAATATGTAAAGTTGTGTTAATGATATTTTTTAAAAAAAAGGGAATTCTTAGCAGTTAAAATTTGAACTTTTCTACCACTGAATTTTATAAAACTAAGGTATTCATCTGTGGTTACAGTGAATTCTCTTGTCAGAGCCAGCATGCATTAAGTATGATTAAAAATGTTTTGAATTTTTTTTTTTTTTTTAAGATGAATTTTCCGTCTTGTCACCCAGACTGGAGTACAACAGCATGATCTCAGCTCACTGCAACCTCCACCTCCCAGATTCAAGCGATTCTCCTGCCTCAGCCTCCTGAGTAGCTGGGATTACAGGCACGTGCCACTACGCCTGGCTAATTTTTTTGTATTTATAGTAGAGACAGAGTTTCGCCATGTTAGTCAGGCTGGTCTCGAACTCCTGACCTCAGGTAATCCGCCTGCCTTGGCCTCCCAAAGTGCTGGGATTACAGGTGTGAGCCACGGCGCCTTGCCTAAAAATGTATTATATCAGACAAAACATCTTAGTAAAAATTTGGGGCATTTTAATAATAAGCCAACAGCTTTTGAGACTATAGAGATTTAGAGTAGAATTTTTTTTTTATGAGGTGGCTTTTTAAAAAAAATTTGAAAATGGGAAAATGACCCATAAAGTGAATTCACCTAGAATATCCATTTAAAATGTTCAGACTTGTGGCTGAGTGCGGTGGTTCACACCTGTAATCCCAGCACTTTGGGAGGCCGAGGCAGGCGGGTCATCTGAGGTCAGGAGTTCGAGACCAGCCTGACCAACATGACAAAACCTTGTCTCTACTAAAAATACAAAAATTAACCGGGTGTGGTGGTACACGCCTGTAATCCCAGCTACTGGGGAAGCTGAGACACGAGAATCACTTGAACCTGGGAGGCAGAGTTTACAGTGAACTGAGATTGCGCCACTCACACTCTAGCCTGGGCAACAGAGGGAGACCCTGTCTCAAAAAAATAAGTAAAATAAAATGTTCAGACTTAAAAACTGGACAGGTAGTCAGCATAATTCATAATAATGCCTTCACATATGCTTTTTTTCTAAAGGAGCCCCAAAGTTCCTTTGTTCCAAATGTCTGTGCTAACAGCCCATTTTGAGAAGAGAAGTCTGCAGGTATAGTTAGTGTTGCTGAGACATTTCCACTGTGGCATTCTAGAGTTCTCTGGCTTGCCCTTGTTGCTTTAAAGCTGGTTCCAACTTTGTGGGCTTTATGACTGAACAACACTGGTGATTGTGATTTCTAATACCACCCTCCAGGTTCATGTCACAGGTGAAAGTCTGCCTGTGAGGAGAGCTTTCACATTCTCCTGGAGTTGAACCAAAATAATGAAAACATCAACAAGCACAGTTACCAAAAGTTGCCAAGGGACAGAGGAGAAATACTGTTCATTGCAGATGGGGAGAAATTAAATGACATCAAGTGCATAATGGAACTGGGTAGGATTCAAACTCAGGTCCCCTGGTTCAGGTCCTTGACTCCACTCTGGTCATGGCTAACTCTGGCCTGTGCCTCATCTTCTCAGCTCTAGCGGCTGTTTAGAGGTGAAGATACTGATAGGCAGGCACCCGCGTTGTAAATAAGAAGCAAATATTTTTATATTTCTCTCTCTTATGTGTATAATATTTGAGCTATAAACAGGTTAAAACGAAAGAGACTTCAGCTTAGTAGCAGGCAGGGAAGGAAGAAGTGAATGCAGCTTCCTTCCTCTTACATTTCTAATCAAGCTAATTATTTCACTGATGATTTCTCATTTGATTACCTGTTTTGCTTATTTATGCTTAGAACTTTCAGTGACTTCTCAGTGCCATTAAGGTAAAATGAAGTCATTTCTGTGACCTGCAATATCATCGTTTGCCACTCCTCCCCATTTGCTATGTCTTAGCAAGACTGAGAGGCTCTCAGTTCTTCAGACCTGCTCTATCTCACCTCTCATTTTGTTCATATTCTCCACCTCTTGTGCTTGATGAACTCCTACTCACCTATCAGGTCACAACTTAAATATTTTTTCCTCCAGATCTCTGGACTACATAGGTCCAGGCCCCTATCAAATGCTCCCATAGCACATTAGGCTTCCTCAGCAACATGCTCATCATACTTTTCTAGAATTGCTGGCTTGTCTTCCTTGTTATCTCTCTAATGCAGAGACCATTACTCATCATTGTAGCAGACGTTTATCCATAGCAGGCACTCAGCAAACATTTGTGGAATGAATGTATATGTGAAACTCTACTTTTATGGCAAGTTTGTTTGGTTCAGAAGGCTTGCCTTTCATGTATATTATGAGACTGGCCAACATTTTTATATTCTTCCTCCTGTGCTCAAACCGTAAATAATTATGTTAGCAAACACTGAACTTTGTCTTTTGAAAAATAAATAGAAACATCCTTAGTAACAGTACTAACAAGAATTCACACCAGTGATACAGAATGGCCTTTGACCATTATCTCAGAGAACAACCAATTGATAGACATGCTGAAGTAGTAACTCCGCAGACTTCAGTTTCATTCATCCCTACTTAATATAAGAAAATTAACTTCTATTTTATGTCTGTATTCCCATTTTCTAATATACTACTTGTCACAGAAGAGATGCCCAACCAGTGTTTTTTGTAAAGCACCTGAACTGATTAATAATAATGCTAGTGAAATGTATTTATTGCTGTTCTAAGCACTTTACACGAATTAACTCATTTAATCCTTACCACAACCATAGGAAGTAGATTCTATTATTTATCCAATTTTACAGATGAAAAAACTGAGGCTGGTCATTTGGCATAAATTACCAGTGCTGGCCAGGACTTTAGAGACCATTTAATCCAATGCTGTTATTTTACAGAGGTGCAGCTGAAGCCTAAGTAAGTGATATGATTTCCTACACATTCATGCACCTTCATGCACATCCACTAAAACTTCTATTAAATGGAACCGACTATCCACACTCCAATTAGCTAGGTGCCTTCTCCCCCACCCCCATTTAGTAATTTACAATTAATTGGAGGACTTTTTATAGTTATATTTAGAGTAAAGGAGCATGTTTTACTTTATATCAACTTTCTTCTCTGCTGAAAAACATTTTGATTCATTTCGCCAGTCATTTTAGTTCTTTCAATAGGGTTAATACACAGATCAAACAAGACTTAAATACATTTTTAACAATTTGACAATTTAAAAGTGAATTGCCTAAAACCTAGGTCTTCTAAGTTGGAGCCCAATGCTTTTTTTATTGCTCCACTGTAGTCAAAGGTGAATATATAAACGTGATTTCAGATAAAATGCAGAAGCTGTATTTAAGTTGGCTTTTGTCATGAAAGAAATCAGAAAGTTTGGACAACTCAGGAATGGATTTCCATCCTAGATGGTACTTACTACTATTTCTGGAATTAAGTTTACTGTCTATATTCAGGATTTTGTGCATAAGAGACGTGACCACTGAGGTTGTGTGTCATTCTTAGTTCTAATCCAAGGGTCAGCAAACTTAGTCTCTGTTAAGGGTCAGATACTAGTTTTTTGGCTTTTCAGTCTGTTTGGCTCTGCTATAAACAATACATAAATGAATGAGCATGGCTATGTTCCAATCAAATTTAACTGACACTGAACTTTGAATTTCATATGCTTTTCAAATGTCACAAATGTTTTCCTTTTGATTTTTTTTTAAAAAGCCATTAAAAAATCCAAAGACCATTCTTAGCTTGCAGTCTGCACAAAAACAGGAAGCAGGCTGGGTTTGCTGATGGATTGTGGTTTTCCCACCCTTGTTCTTAGACAGGGACACACCAATATATCATGAATGTTGTAAAGGATACTGCCAGTAATGTATTATTACTGGTTAGTTGTAAGAAGATCAAAGTTAGTGAATAATTTGTTTTTAAAATGAATTATTGTTGATTTATTTTTATAAATAAATGGCACAGGGCATTCTCATGCTCTTGCATTCTAATATATTTTCTGGAATTGATGCAAAAGTGGTGGCAGTAAAGTACAGAGCTGGCTAAGCAGCAGTTTTGTCTTAAGTGTGGTGATCGTGGACAACGATTACTGCTGAACTGCTCTTCATGGTAAGGATTTCAGTGTTTCAGAGTAATTCATTAACCTAGAGATGTTTTAAAAAGTTGTACCAAAATCTGCTGCACCATGGGAGTGTTTTACACGTGTGATGTACATCTACCTTATGTACCATAATGGAAAAATGTTTGAGAACCACTGCACTAGGCCAAAGGCTGGGATGTGTATACTTTGCTGTCGTGTATAATTGTATGTCCTTGTTCTCTAAACAGAATTGATTATGTTTACTGAACAGTTAAGTGGTTCTCTGTGTGTTTATATACACAGATGATCCCCAAATTGGATGGTTCAACTTCAGAGTTTTCAAACTTACAATAATATGAAAGTGATATACATTCAGTACACTCCTACAACTTACATTGGGGTTATGTCCCATAAGTGTTTGACTTACAATATTTTTCAACTTACGATTGATGGGTTTGCTGAGACATAACCCTCTTGTAACTTGAGGAGCATCTGTATATTTGTACATACATGATGGTGTGTGTTTATACATAAATGCCTGTATATACACACCATGAGCATTTGAAGGTCTTTGTCAAGGTTATTTCTGTTTCTGATCTCTTGCGTACTGTAAAACCCAAGAGAT